CGACCTCTATGCAAACAAGATGGATGTGTAAGACTGACAGCTTCTAAATATGGGTTTTGTAATTTGCATGTAAATAAGTGCTATTCAAAAGCAAATTATCACTGGAAGAAATTGGATAAGATATTTCAGGATTGGCAGACTCTAGAAGCGTTAGAAGAGGCTCTCGATAGAATGAAAATACCTAATGCTATAAGTTGGCCCTAATGACTTATCAAAAATTTGGGCTCATGTAAAATTTATAGGGACAGCAAAAAAACTTAACAAGAACATCATTAGTATAGCAAACTGGGAATTTTAGAATTCTAGGAAGACATTTTTACTACTTACCCCTATAATCATATAAGTCTTTATGAATTTTCAAACTCTTTACCTTTTTATTTTTTTTATACCATATATCAACCATATATCAATTATATCAACCATAAATATGACTATATTTGCCTAAGTGGTATACCATAAAAAAATTTTGATTTTTTTCCTAAAACTTTAAAATTTCTTAAGGTTGATAGGGTTCTTAAAGACAAGTAGTAAAGAACTCAATAAAACAAGTTAAGAAGCCTAAAAATGATATCAAGATTATCTCTAAAAGCGTCCTCAAGAATTTTTCTTATAGGGATAGAGAATTTTTATAGGGACGGCAAAAAAATTTAACAAAGTACTTCTAGTACCTTCTTTGACAATTTTTTATAGGACAAAATGCGATATATTTTATTATTAAAGATACATAAAAAATAATTATCTTAAAGTGTATACAATAATGGATTTTGAAAATTATTCTTTAAGACGGCAAAACACTAATTTACAATATGAACTCATACTGATTCGCAAGATTTTAAATATGCAATTGGAGATCGATTCATTAAGAGAAGAAGTTAATAGGCTTAGAGATGAAAATACTAGGCTTAAAAATGCAATTAGCTATCAGAAAAATGTAAAATAAAATAAGATAGTAAGCTCTAACGAAATGCCTTATTCTAATACCAAATGATTTATAATAGATTATATTTCATTATAGCCTGAGGACGTTCTTTGCAAATAAATATGTTGCGCTACTTTATATCAGGATTATCTTACTTGGTGTAATAAAAATGATGAGCAAGCATTAAGTAGCAATCCTCTTGGTAAGAAATTCTTACAAATGGATATTAACCGTAAATGGGTACGAGTAGGTAATAGTAATAGAGAATGGCAATATATTTTAGACTGATCCAAAATTATAAGTAAGATATATGATTTGATGTATAATGAGGATTATACAGAATAGTCCTGTCTTTAATTTCAGTTATTATAGGGATACATTGACCAAATATTAGCGATATATTTACATTTGCATTTTGAATTTTCTGACCTACGGGTCAGTGAAAGTCATGTGACTATGGTGCAGTAAGGCGCAGTATAAATTCAGCTAGTATTATTCTACAATTTTAGTCAGAACTTTGAGCATAATATTTCGGAATCCAAGCTGGCCTGAAACTGGCAAACAAATAGAAATACTCAGATTCTCTGCCAGTTCCATGATAGCTTCAGGATACTACCAAGTCACTACCATAGTGCCAGCTTGGATCCTCTAAATCACATGCCCTAAAGATCAGCCTGAATTATGCCATAGTGCCAACCAAATTTAGACGCAGATTTACATCAAATTACTGCGCCATCTGACGCAAATTTTTTATCACAATTTGATATTTTAACAGGCAACCAAATAGGTGCAAAGGGTAAGCACTCCAATATAGAATCCAGCACCCAATCAGACGTAGGAGGTCAGCATTCTTAACATAAAACCAGATATCCAAACAACTACAGAAGACCAACAACTTCATTATAGAATTTAGCATGTAAACAACTCAGAAACAAGAAGAAAAGCGTGATATTTAGATTATGTAGTAGTAGTTAAGTTAAATAATGGGTGGTAGTTAGATTATATGGTGGTAAAAAATAAAGATAGCAAGAAAGAATTAAAGGATAACTAGAGTATAAAAAAGATACCTAATACATGAAAATAAATAGATTATATGGTGATAATTAGATTATATTATTTAGATTATATAATGATAATTAGATTATATTATTTAGATCATATGGTGGTATCCAGATCATATGGGGTCTTTGCAATAGAAAGTGAGGAAACTCAAAAAAAAATAAAAAATGAGTTAATAATAAATCTGAATAAATTATAGTATTTAGAACATTTTTGGCTTATAAACTAAAATTTTAATTTTTTTGGAGTTTCCTCCCTTTCTATTGTAAAGGCCCTATATGATGATATTTAGATCATATAGTGGTATCCAGATTATATAGTGGTATTTAGATCATATAGTGGCGTTCAGATTATATAGTGGTAATATAATCTAAGGCAAGTGAGATATCATCATATAATATAATTATATTATATGGTGATATCTCACTGCTCTAATATATTATATACACATATTCTAAATTATTTTACTATAGAATCTTATATTAATTTCTTTATCACAGTTTTCTTGTTAAATTCATTTAAACACAGATTGAAACATAAAAGTCTCTTTTATTTTATACAGATAACTCATATAGATTTTTACCAGATTATACCAATCCTATTATATACCTTAGTTTTGCTTTTCTTTTAATTTATAATAATATAAAAATAGATTTTTTTATTACTCTTTCTCATTTTTGATCAAATTCTATTAACACTAAAATTTTTATTTTACTATTAGTTCTTATTATTTATTCTATAACTTAGATTTAAATGTTTATATAGTTAGTTTAAACCTTATTAATTCTTATAATAAAATTTAATAACAAAATGCATTCTTATATCCTCACTTATGCTCAAACTCCCTTTCAATATTTACTGATCTATCATTTTTAAAATCATTGAAGAAAGAAATATTTTACTTATCCTTACAAAAGTAATAACGTATTTTGATAATCTATATAATAATAAAGTTAATCAATTAGCAAAATCTTCATTACACTCTTCTTTTATTTTAATTATATTTAATCACATTTCTTACTTTCATTATATTCTTCTTTTTGAATAAATGTCTATCTTTACTGCCTTTTGATTACTAATCAAAAACTTCCTACAAATAAAACATTTTATAGTTTACTATCTATTTAAAAAGAATAAAAAATTCACTAATCTTGAAATTAATTATAATTTAACCTTTTAACTCCTCAAACTTGACTCTTTTACTACTACTTCCTTTGAAAAATCCTATGCTTATTGTAAAAAAATTGATTTTTTGCTCAAATAACTAAATTTCTTAAAGCTACAAAATCTTCCCTTTATCATAATTCATAGAAATATTACTGATGTTATACATCAAACAAATTCTTTAATCATATTTGGCTATATTCTAAGCCAGATCTATTATAAATAATATTATCAATAACCTATTGTCATACTTAAAAGAACAATTTTTAATATATACTTTTCATTTAGATTTTTCACTAGAAGTCTTAACTCTCTTATTATCATCATATCATTACTAGATTATTAAGGCAGATCTGTATAATATTACTTTTATTAATTTTATTAAAGGTATTATTTCTTCCTCTTTTTCAAAACTTTTACTAATTCTTCTTTTTTTTACAAATTTCTCTTAATCAAACTTATGCTTTTATATAAAAAACAAGTACTCTTACTATCATTAAAGAACAATTTCTTCATATTTTACAATTTAGTAAAAAAATAGCTTATTTACTTTATCTAATTTCTTTAGAAATACTTTTACCAATACTTCCTTTCCTTTTACTTACCCTAAATATGATCATATTTTTTTAATAAAAAACTCTTATATACAATTATCATTAACTTCTTTACTAATACAATAATAACTAATTATCATATGTTTAATTTTTATATAGTTAAGTGATAATGGTAATTCTACTAGTGATTATTATTGGAACCTAACAGAACAACCAGTTAGTCTAGTAAAATAGCATTTTGAATTTTTTATTTTTATTAGACAGCTTTTTTTTCTATATCTGTATTTTTTTAAAGGATTTTTATGTAATTTTTTTTACTAATTATGATTATACTTAATAAATAAAAACATTATTGCATCTTTAAAAAAAATTATTCAAATTAACTTAAATTTTAATATATTATTCTTTAAAATTGTATTGAATATGTATTAAAATTTAATGCAATTCTAATCTGTGAATTTGAAAAATATGATGTTAAAAATCATGTTCAAAGACTTTTAGCTAGAATCTGTATATAAGTTTGAAAAAATAATTAATTTTTTAAATGAATAATTAAAGTAAATAATCTATAAATAAAATAATTATTTATAATACAATAATATATAAATGTAAATGTTTAGAAATTTTAAAAATAGTTTTTTTTTTTACTTAAAATATTTTATAATTAGAAAACTATACATTATTTTTACTTTAATTATTAGTAAATAAAATTAATTAATTTAATAATATTAAATTTTTTTAATTCTTATTTCTTTAAATTTATTATTTTTTTTATAAAGAATAATTTTACTATATTTTTTAATTAAAAAATATTTTATTATATATATAAAATAATCTTTACAAAAAATTTTTTATTATTTTTATAGAGGCAATTTCTATGTACTGTATTTGGATACGGATCACATGACATGGCTGGCATTAACAATTTACCCAGTATCGCCATAAAAACATCATCACGTGACTTTTTGGCCGGCATTACGGTATTAAGAAATTAACTGTATAACAAATATGGAATTTCACTACCAAAAAAATTCTCTGTCTTCAGAATACATAGTAAAAATGAAAAGTTGAGGGTTGTGACGCAGGGTGACAAATATTTTACTATGATTACGTGAGAAATTTTTATAACGATTACTTTTACCGGCATTAAGAAATTAAGCAATTTACCCGTATGATGACTATGTGACGGATAATGTGCGATTAATAAGAATCCAAATCTTATTTGTCAAGAATTATTTGTCACTCATGCGCCACCAACCTGGCACACATTCAGGGGTGCAAATTTTATACGGCTTCATCAACCAATGAAATCAATCTTTCCTTTATTTAATTATGATGTAAGACGCGATTTATAAAAAATTTATTCAAGTTGAACTAGAAATGTATAATAAAGAGAATAAAGAGAATAAAGAAACCATCAATTCTCCTTTAACCAGGTAAAATGTATTGATTTATCAATTTAATAAAGAATACACAAATCCTTATTGATTTGTTTTTTTTTAAAATATATATATATATATATAGAGCACCACGTCTATGGACAATGAACAACTTTGATATTGGAATTGGACTTGGAAAAGGTCAATTCGGTCGTGTTTATATTGCAAAAGAAAAAACAAGTGGTTTTATTGTTGCTCTCAAAGTGTTGAAAATATCCGAATTAAGAAAAAGTAAAGCGGAAAAACAATTGGTACGCGAGGTTGAAATTCAAGCTAATCTAAGGTAAATCAAAAATCTTTTTTTTTTTTTTTATAATGATCGATGAAATTCACCATAATTTTTACAGACATCCGAATATTCTCCGTCTTTACGGACACTTTCATGATGAAAGGTATGTCTTCCTAGTTCTTGAATATGCCGCCAAAGGAGAACTTTATCGACATCTCAAAAGATGCACTAGATTTACAGAAAAGAGAACTTCAAGAGTATGAAATTTTAAACATTACAACTAAAGTTTTTATTAATAACTTTCAACCAATATATTTATTTATATATATTTCTTTTCATTATTAGTATATTGCACAAATGGCTGGAGCTTTAGCATATATTCACGGCAAACATGTAATCCACCGAGATATCAAGCCCGAGAATCTGTTATTAGATATGAACGATCAACTTAAAATTGCAGATTTTGGGTGGTCAGTACACGCACCAAGTCAGAGGTATAAAGATATTCTACAAACATAAATCGTAATTATATGAAGATAATCTTAAAATTAATTCAAAATTCATTTCCAGACGTAAAACAATATGTGGCACCAAAGATTACCTTTCGCCAGAAATGGTTGACAATCAACCTCATGACGAGAAAATCGATCTTTGGTCATTAGGTGTTTTATGCTTTGAACTTTTAACTGGAAGTGCCCCGTTTGAAGAACCGGTTAACGGAAGAGATACAACTTACAAACGGATAGCTAAAGTCGACTTCACGATCCCAGATCATGTATCAGCTGATGCAAAAGATTTGATCGTTTCGGTAAGTAATTAGCAATGGCGATTTTAAATTAATTCAATGAATTCAATTTACACTTTTAAATCGACAGTTATTACAACGCGACCCCAGTAAACGTTTGCCAATAAAGGAAGTGTTAAGTCATCCGTGGATTCTTAAGCATCAAAGAAAATCCATAATAAATGTGTAATATGAAAAACACAAAACAAATTATTTATGTAGAATTCCAAAATATTCACTTTAGTTATAAAAAACAATATGTTACAAAGAAAACTAAAAAACCGTCCACATGATTATATCAAGTCCATAATATCGAACAACGCACTCACACTTTCACCATTATGTATTCTTCTGATTGCTTCTGCAAATATCGGAGCAACATCGAAGACTTTAAGTTTAGTACAGTGTAATAAATGTTCATCTTGTGGAACACTATCACTCACGATAACCTGATCAATGACACTTGCTGCGATTCTTTGAATAGCATCACCACTCATTATTCCATGAGTTATAATGGCATAAATCTTTTTTGCTCCATTTTCACCAAGTATTTTTGCAGCTCTGGTAATTGTACAAGAAGTATCCGCGATATCATCAATTAAGATACATACTTTGTCTTTAACCTCACCGACAAGCATCATGTCGGTTTTATTAGGCTGATTTTGAGAACGACGTTCTTTGTGAATCAAAGCAAAATCCATACGAAGTTTATCTGCAATCGCTGTTGCCCTAAATAAATAAAATAACTAAGTTGTTTTTTTTTTTAAGGAAAACGAAAGTTAATACATAAATCATCAAGGTTTCTACCTTTTTGCACCACCAGCATCCGGAGAAACAATTACTGCTCTTTGATAATTTGGAATGTTTTCTTTAATGTATTTTATCATCAAAGGTTGGCCATAAAGGTTGTCGACAGGTATATCAAAAAAACCTTGGAATTGGGGATCATGAAGGTCCATGGTCATTATATGGTCAGCTCCTGAAAGCAAATGAACAAAATTACGTATTAATAATATTTTCATAATTGATATAACATTATTTTGTAGTTGATCATTATGTAATGACCTGCACACGTTATAATATTGGCAATAAGCGTTCCAGATCGAGCAATCCAATGTTTATATCCAGTAGACATTCGAGATGAACTCATGTCAGACCCCTGCTCTTCAAATCTGGCAAATGCCGCCCCAAATGGATCTCTAACTTCATTTGAAGGGGTAGTAGGTGTTGAATCAAGACAGCCTGGTGTATCAAATGTATAACCAATAAAAGCATTCCTTGGAATCCGCGATAATGGTGCACCATTTTTCTTGTAAGGAGCATCAGGTTGTCTCGCGTATGGAAAACAGGGTATCACGGCGGTAACTCTCGCCGCGGATGCAATTTTACAAGCTGATATCATGATCAATAATTCCATTAGATTATCATTTACGTGGCCACAGCCAGATTGAATTATATAAACATCTTTTTCTCGGACACTTTCATGGATCTCAACATTTGTTTCCTTATTTGAAAATTTTGAAAGTTTAGCACACCCAAGATTAACATTTAGACGAGAAGCAATTTGCTCAGCTAAAGCAGGGTGTGAGGAGCCTCCGAAAATAACGATATTGCGCATCTTTAATAAAAGATTCAAAATGTCGCGTTTAATAAAATGTTAAAAAAAAAAAAGGTTGACTAATTGTTTGGTAATTAAAATGGGTTTGTGCTCAATTGCATGATGATCTGTTTTAGTTTTATTTTAAAACAAGTTAAATTTATTTTTTTAAAATTTCAAAGTTCATTTTACATTTTCAATAAATGTCGTCTAATCCACTCTTACAATTTGTAACTTTCTCTTCAGCTGTTGAAGCCACATTTTGGCATACTTTATCCACACGAAAAATTGATTTATATAAATTAGATGATACTTCACATGATATTTTAGGTTATTACTCTACTGGACGAACTGTAATTTCACAGCATGCTACGGAGGCTAACATTTCTATGCCAGCTCATTTGTGTCTTGGCACTGGAGCTTTTGATGATGCCAATGCAGAATCTTTTTCACGGTGAGGATTAATTCGTGAAAGAAGAACCCAAAGAATAATTTAAAATAATTAAATAATTCGCGTAATTTTCAAATTTTAATGTAGTTTACCTCCCTTTTCTTATCCTTCGATTGGAAAAATAAAAAATACTAATACCATTGAAGATTTCAAAAGTCTTGAAAAAACTTCATTATTTAAAGAAATTACTGAACAAGTAAAAGATTCAAGTTCATTTTTTTGGTTGTAGTATAACCTTTATAGTCATGTGATTTGTCTTCAATTTATTTGTATAAATCAATTAGATTTGGCAGGATATTATCTCTGGTGAAGCGATCAAAAATCCGTGTCTAATTACCCGATTTCTCCTTGTAACTTTTGCCGATTTGAAGAAGTACAAATATCATTACTGGTTTGGTTTTCCCGCTTTATTAACCGAACCACCGTGGAATGTCGCAGAAAATGGCCAAATAAAGAGCATTGGAGATTCATGGGAATCTAACGAGGTTGGCTTTTATTTATAATTAATCGTATATATTTAATGCAATTTAATGATATTAATGCTTTCAATTATTTTGATTAGATTGAAAGCTTTAGAGAAAATTATGATCTTTTTAGACAAAAGCAGTCTGGTGCAAACGCAGGATTTTTCCTTGTGAGAAAATCTAGTAACAATGAAGTCATGATTGGCAGTCTATCTGAATGGGATACATTCTTTGAAAGCTGTAATGATAATGAGGTGAATAAAGAGTTAAAATGAATGATATAATTAAATAGGAATTCCAATAATTTTATGAGCATATACTTCATTAGCGAATTGTTGGATTTGCTGATCCTTCAAGCTTGCCCATGAATCCCGGATGGCCACTGCGTAATCTCTTAGTGCTTTTACAACGTCACTGGAATGTACATAAGATTAAAGTATTATGTTACAGAGAGATTCCGGGAAAAAAAGATATTTCACAAACTCGTATATTGACAGTTGAAATACCTGAAACCACATCAATTTCTGGTACTTTATATAAATTTTAAAATTTTTACTTATCATCAGTAAAGAAATTAACATTACTGACATGCTTTAATAATATTCTTATAAGACAAGTGTCCTAAAAGTGTAGGTTGGGAAAAGAATCCACAAGGAAAACTTGGTCCTCGTTCTGCTGACCTTGCACCTCTTATGGATCCAACGAAGTAACCATTCGTGTTTAGTTCTTTTCGTTCCTTTACGAACGAACTATCATTCATTTTTTTAATAATTTTTATAAGACTGGCCGATACCTCGGTTGATTTAAACCTGAAATTAATGCGATGGAGAATTGTACCAGATCTACAGCTGGAAAAAATCAGAGAAACAAAATGTTTATTACTTGGTGCGGGAACCTTAGGTTGTTACGTGGCGAGATGTCTCTTGGTATGACAAACTTATTCAATTGATTTTAACTTTCACACACTATGAGTTATTAATCATATATTATGTGATTCGTTATATAAGGGATGGGGTGTCCGTCATATAACATTTGTTGATAATGCACGTGTTTCGTTCTCAAACCCTATTCGACAACCGTTATTTTTCTTTGAGGATTGTCTTGAAGGCGGAAAGCCTAAAGCGCAGACTGCGGCCGAAAATTTAAAAAAGGTTTATCCCGGTGTAGTATGTGTAATTTTTTTCTTTTTTTAAAAAAAAAAAATTTTTTTTATTTTCCAATGAAAATATTTTGAAATTTGATCGTTTGGAAATCTAGATAACTGAAGGACATGATATCAGTATTCCAATGCCGGGACATCCAATCACTTCAGAATCAAAAGTTCGTAGTGACGTTGAAAAAATTTCACAACTCGTCGAATCACATGACGTGGTCTTTTTATTAATGGATAGTAGGGAGAGTCGATGGCTACCCACCATGTTGGGCGCAAGCATGCGAAAGGTAAATACCTCATGTTTAATAAATATTTTAAATTAAGTTAAATACATGTATGTCTTACGCGTCACATTTATTAGCTTGTTATAAATACAGCATTAGGCTTTGATACTTATGTTGTCATGCGACATGGAGTCAAAGATCTTCATGCTGCTTCGAAAACAACCAATGCATATAGTAGTAAGATGCCAAAAGTTGAACATTTAGGATGTTATTTTTGTAATGATATTGTGGCCCCAACTGATTCCCTGAAAGATCGTACCCTTGACCAACAATGTACGGTCACGCGACCTGGATTATCGGCGATTGCCGGTGCATATGCCGTTGAGTTGATGGTTTCTGTTTTACATCATGAAAAAGGGTAACTTATCAATGATATAATTCTTTTTACAGGGTGATTGATTAATTAATTTTTTCTGTTTAATTAATAGACCAGCAGCACCAGCTGATACAAATAATGATGACCTTTCTAGCGCAACATCAACTCCTTTAGGTATCATACCACATCAAATTCGTGGATTTTTAACAAATTTTAACAATATGTTAATAATTGGACAAGCTTATGATAAATGTACTGCTTGTTCTGATAAAATATTGGAAGAATATAAAATAAATGGATATGAATTTCTTAAGCGCGTTTTTGACTCGTCTACATATCTTGAAGAATTAACAGGATTAGCTAAATTGCATCAAGAAAGTGAAGCTGCCGGAGATTTTGATTGGGATGAAGAAGATACTGAATTATGAAGTATTAAATCGATTTGGTAATAAATTAATTCCGTTATTCAAATTATGTATATTAGTATCTAGAGAGAATGTAAAAGAAATGAATAAAAATTTCGAAAGTATTTTTATTAATAAAGATAAGCATCAAGAATAAAATCTATAAATACAAATAATACTTTTGTATCAATCAAAATTAAATATTCATGCATATATTTTTGATTTTTGACAAATTGCGAAAAAAAAAAAAAAAAGATTAATTAATCCATCTACACACAAATATATATATTTATATATATTATATATTTCAAATAATCTCTTTATAATAATTAAAAGGAAACAAACAATTAATCATCACTGATACTTATCATCGCTCGTTAATAACCTCCACTATTTTTTGAGATCGTCAAAATAAGTTGAGATTGGGAACAATTCTTTACACTTATTCCTAAATTCTTCAGCTTTTGATGAATTTAACTTGTCTTTTTTGAGTTGCTCGTATACTAATACGCAATTCTATACAAAATAAAAAAAAAAAATAATGTTCAATTGAAAAGATAATTTTAATAATGTTGATTTTAACTTTCCCATCTAACTACCTTTAATGTTCTCGTATTCAAGAATTCGTCTTTGACAGAATTCATTAATATACTTGAAGCTTCTTGTTTAGATTCAGGATTTAGTTGCAATAGTACTTTAGAACCAGCTAATAAATGAGGTACAGATCCTTTGTTTCTAGCTAAAAATTCTTCATTATGTGCCACCAAAGAAATTTCATGAGGCAGTATAGTTGGTAACTCGGTATCAATAACTTTAAAAATTGTTTGGTATTCAGTGGCATTACGTAATGGATCCCTTTGATCTTTATCTTCTTTTTCAAGCTTAGAGACTGAAATAAAAGATAAAGTATATTTATTAAATCATAATAAACACAACAATTTAGAATAGAATGATTACCATACCTTTTAACTTGAATTGTATTATATTTAAGTGTAAAACTGGATTCTCTTTATCAATATTATACGCACGTTTTAGAGCCTTAAGAGCGAGTAAATATTTTCCTGAATTATAAAAATGATTTCATTAATAATAAAATAGATGACACTCGACATGATAAAAAATTTTATGACAGGGAAACCAACTTTTACGAATATAGTATTCAAATCCCAAAAGTTGTGTTTCTATTCTTTGCGAAGCCAATGTTTGCAAAGGTTGAAGAAATTTAAATGCCTCTCCTAAAGGATCTTCTACCTATAAAAAAACATTTTGAAGTTAAATTAATTCATAAATATTATTATAAAATAAATAAAATAATATCATTAAACCTTAAGAAGCTTTTCGCCTTCTGGGTCATCATCTTGAGCTTTCTTTTTCGAATGATCTTCCTTTGCAGGAGTGACTTAATCAATCATTAAGAAAATCAATACATCTCTTTTTTTAAAGAGACTATCATTATGAACTCTAAACAGCAATAATACTCACCATTTTTTGCCTCCTTAAGTGCAGCTTTTTTGGCCTTGCTTTTGGCTTTTTTTGCTGCCTTAATTTCTTTCTCTGTCATATTCTCTTTAATCAAATATTTATTTATTTATCGTTAATAATAACTTCATTAAACTTTAAAATAAATCATACACGAGCATACCATAGTTTTGGCTTTCATCACCATCGACTATTTTTGGATTATCATTTATATAAAGATAGATCTAGATGTTCCAATGGGATAATTCGTAATGTGAACAAAAAGAGAGATATATATACAAATAAAATGCGATGTTTACCTCAATAGCGTTCTGAGCAGCACGGAAATAATACAAATTTGAACGTAACTGATCTTCAAGTCGCAACATACTTTATATATCGCATGAAAATAGCAAATTTAAAAACATACATAATTTCACAGTTAATGTACTCGAAAATAAAAGACATACCTCAAATATGCTCGGAGAGTA